TTTTTTTTAAGTGATGTTCCAGAAATGTCTTTATTTATTTTTATTTTTGTGTGTGTGTGTAGAAGAACTGGGGTGTAGACCAGAGGTTTGGGGGTGAGAAGATTCATCAGACACAGAGAGGGGAACACAACAGGCAGATTTACTGAAATACACTGCTGAGGGAAGCAGCTGGGGAGACAGGAGAGGTCTGCTGCCATATGGGTTAGCTCCCTGGTGGGGTATCCCTGTAGTGGTGATAGCTCTGAGGCTGAACCCCTAGGCCAACAGGAGGCCCTGATTCTGGAGGTTTTAATCTCTCCAGTACACCAGTGAAAGATTTTTTAAAATATTTATTTATGCATACAAGAAATAGGGTGCAGGGAGCCCTCCCTGGTGGTGCAATGGGACAGGGAAAAGCACTGCAAGGTAGCCACAGCTGCTTCAGTCCAATTTGATTCCCAGCCTCGGAGGTGATCCACATAGTGCAGCAGACCTCTCTTGTTTTGCCTGCTACTACCCTCAGCAGTGTACTTCATTCATCTGCATATTCTGCTCCCCACTCTGTCTCTGGTGAATCCTCTCACTGCCCCTGTACCTCTGACCTGTACCCCAGTTCTGTGTACATAACTAAATAAATCTTAAAAAAAAAAGAAATAGGGTGTAGGCCAGAGGTGTGGGGGGTGAGAGGAGTTGAGAGGAGTCACCAGAGACATCGTGGGGAGCAAAACAGGCAGATGTACTGAAGCACACTGCTGAGGGCAGCAGTGGGTGAGACAGGAGAGACCTGCTGCACCATGTGGGTCAGCTCTCTGGGTAGGAATCGAACTCATGTCTCATTGGGCTGGTGACAGCTTGATACTGCTGAGACATTAACCCTTATGCTACCAGGAAGGCCCCAGAGAAAGTTCTTAAACATTATTTCCCCAAGTTTATTAATTTTTCTTGGATTTTATTTCTCATGTAAAGAAAAATTGAGTTGCTGAAAATCACTACCTGTTTTGTATCTAGACTCGCAGGCGGACGGTTGCTGTTTATGGCCAGTATGGGGGCCATGCTTGTGCCGGAAGTGCTTTTGAAACACAGCTGTGTAAACCTGTCCGTGGCTGTCCAATAGAAGAAGGATGTGGAGAGCGTTTCAGATGTTTTTCAGGTATTTGTTTTCTGTAGGTCTGGCATAGAAATTTTGAATTCCAATGCATTTTGGATAACTTGTTCAGTATTAATTTGTTGAATTTTATTGGATTTGTATTGTCTGTACCTTAATTTTCTCAAATATAGTAGGATTTTTTTTAAATTATTGGCACATCAATCATATACTCAGCTATCATTCTTTCAAATGCAAGGGAAAATGTCTGATAATAAAGGTGGGAATGGACAAACTGACATATAATTTTCCTATTTGTACCCTCACAATTTTTATTTGTACTTATACCCCAGTACCTGAGTATCTTACAAAAAGTAGATAGTAAAGAAATGTTGAGTTTTAGCCTTTGTTCTAGTCCCCATGCTCTCAAAAGTGTCACATCTAAGTCACCAAGAAAGGCAGGACTTTTGCCACTTGGCCAGTATCATAGAGGAGAAATGGAAGGGCAGGAGTCCAATCATTCTTCCCAGTGGTCTGTATCATCTGAATTTTGGAGTATTCGTATAAGTTACTTGATGATTATGGATAAGAACCTGGAATTTAAGTTCCATTTTGAATTTTGTGTCTAGCTGAGGTCAGAAACAATTTTGTGTGTTTCAAAATAAGGGCCAAAATAATCACCAGTCCTTCCTTGGACACACTGAGGATTTAGCTCAACTTCACATTAGAATATCAGTGCAGTGTGGGGACTAGGTGGGAAGGGGAAATCTTTTTGATTCTGGGTACTGTTTCCCTTATCTCTTTAATTATTGTGAGGTCACTTTTCTTGAGTCCAGGTCAGTGCATTAGCAAATCTTTGGTTTGCAATGGGGATGCTGACTGTGAAGAAGATAGTGCTGATGAAGACAAATGTGAAGACTTAAGACATGCCTGCAACCTGGACAAACCTCCTCCCAATATAGAACTTACTGGAAATGGGTAAGGTGCTGGACAGCCTCCTATCCATATTGATGGGGTATAGTTTTTAATTTTGTTTCGTTGCTTTGTGTTTTTTTTTTTCTGGGTTGGTAAGTATAATAACAAATCACCTAATAATAGCCAAACATTTGACTCAGAGCTCCACATCCTGATTTGTATCTCTGTTTCTAGTGAATCCTCTCACTGTACCCCATTTCTGTATGCATAAATAAATAAAATCTTTAAAAAAAGATTCATATTTGTATATCTGTATGCATTTATGTATATATATACATGCATATATTAGGTGAAATTTAGAGTGATCAGTTGTCCCTGGAGTGACAGTTTTAATAATAAAGGTCTTGAATCTAGGGAAACCCCTCAGTCCTGGCGGTGGGGTGGGGTTGCCCAATGAGGGGCTTGGTGGTGGGGCAGAGGGGAGGGAGAGAGAGAGCCTCAATTACATGGATCTAAATTAGCTGGAAATTTCCCAAATGCAGTTGGGAAAATCTTATTCGCCTTTTTAAAGAGAATTCTCAAAATGAAGAATGATGTATAAATAAATTAATTAAAACAAATTTAAAAAAAGAATTCTAAGAAATTTTTGAAGGCCTTCACCAAAGGTTTTAAGAGTATATATTTTAGAGTAAGAAATGTCATTTTTTCTATAACATTTGAAAGTTTACTAACAGAGAAATGGTACAATGATTTGAAAGAGTATACTAAGAAATTTACTAAGAGGAAATTTGAAAACTAAATATATATAGTTCTGTGACTTCAGGAGGGATCACCCTGCTTAGCTTCCAAGATCAGACCAGACTGGGCACGTCCAGACCAGACATGGCACGTACCATGGTCATAGACTCAAGAGGGAATCTTAATTGTACTGGTTTTATCTATAGATTGTAGTCAAACTAGCTGTTGGCATGCAGAAGGACTTTGTGTTTCTCAAATGCTTTCTTAGCCTGAAAGGATACTGGCTTTTCCCTACTTCTAGTTGTGGCTGTTATAGCAGGCAGGGGAAGTTGGAGAATGTATGGTTTGCATTATGATGCTGTCTCTTTATTGGAACATTCTCAGAGATGCCTTATGGATGCATTTGGAACTTTCTAAGAGTTCTCTAATGATGCCTTTTTCACAAGGGCTATTTCTGGTTTTTAACTGCCTTTTGTTTTTCCCATATTCCACTTTTTAAAACCAGTTACAATGCATTCACTGGCAGTTTCGGGAGCAGAGTCATCAACACCAAAAGCTTTGGTGGTCAGTGCAGAAAGGTGTTTAGTGGGGATGGACAACAGTTCTACAGACTGAGTGGAAATATTCTCTCCTACACATTCCAGGTACCTTACATTATTCTGATTTATTTCTAACCTGGAATTATTTCCAGGGATTATTATTTGCATGATATTGATTTTTGTTATTTGTTGAAATTTTTCTTGTTGCCTGACTGTGGGTAAATCCTATAAATGTTTTACAAGAGCTTAACAACGAATACTAATTATTATTTTTATTTTTTTTAAGATTTATTTATTTATTCATACAGAATTGGAGTACAGGCCAGAGATGCGGAGGGTGAGAGGCTTCACCAGAGACAGAGCAGGGAGCAGAACAGGCAGATCGACAAAGTACACTGCTGAGGGGAGCAGCGGGCAGGTCAGGAGAGGTCTGCCACGCCATGTGGGTCTCCTCTGGGGCAGGCGGGAGTCGAACTAATGCTAAAGTGGCTTTAGCTTCTTAGTGCTGTGCTTTATCCTGCTGCGGCACCAGGGAGGGCCCAAATGCTAATTATTTTTAACTCTGAAGTACATGATAATGATCCTTCCAAACTTGTGTGATTGAAGGTGAAATATCCTTATGACTCCTTTCAACTCCATCTTCCAAGTGGGCCCAGAACTTGTAGGCAGTAAAAGTCAAAGGCCCTGGCTGTGGCTGGTCACGATCATCTTTACACAGCCCCAGCATGACTTCACTTAACAAAGCATTTCTGACCCTCCCTGGTGGCGCAGCAGGTTAGGGTGCAGCACTGCAAGTTACTGCAGCTGCTTTGGGTATGAGTTCAATCCTCCGCCCTGGAGTTTACCCATATGGAGCAGCAGACCTCTCTTTTCTTGCCTGCTGCTCCCTTCAGCAGTGTACTTCGTTGATTTGCCTCTTCTACTCCCCACTCTGTCTCTGGTGAATCCTCTCACTGCCCCTGCATCTCTGGCCTGTCCCAGTTCTGTGTGCATAAATAAATAAATCCTAAAAAAAATAAACATGTCTAATTGATGGTGGTAAAATGATTTCCACATGTGAAATATTTCATGCTTACAAGTGCATAACATATACATATATAGTTTGATCATAAAACAAATATCTATAATCCCTCTCTGATCACATCTCCCCTCTAACTCCCCAGGCAAACAGGATCTTATCTTTTTGTACTAATTATTTCCTTGTTTTTCTTTATATGTTTATTTCATATATCTTTGTCCCTAAATAAAAATTTGTGATTTATTTTTGCCTGTTCCCATTTATATAACTCAAATAGTTATGTATATATAACACATACCATATTATATTTTATTGGGATAACACTGATTTTCAAAACTATGTAATTTAGGGAAATTCAAATGTGTTCACCACACCTCCTGAGCCTCGAAGAACCCATAGTAACCCACCGTCATCTCCTGGAATCACTCCCCGTTCTTTTTCCCTACTTCCCACCAGTCTGTATTCTTCTGTGACTTGTTCCCTCACTTAAAATTATGGTCTTGAAATGTAATGATATTGCTTTAGATGAAATTTTGATTGTTGCTCCCAATTTTTTTTTTAAGATTTATTTATTTTTACATATAGAACTGAGGTACAGACCAGAGTTGCAGGATTCACAGAGACAGAGTAGGGAGTGGTGTAATGAAGTGCACTGCTGAGGGGAGCAGTGAGCAACACAGGAGAGGTCTGCTGTGCCATGTAGGTCACCTCCCTGGCTGGGGATCAAACTCATGCTGAAGTGGCTGTGGATAGCTTTGTGGTGCTGTGCTTTAACCCATTGTGCCACCAGGGAGGGCCCTGCTCTCATTTTTTTATAATGAATATATGGTAGACATTTTGTTTATTGGTTCTATGCAAATGGACAAGATTTTCTCTAGAGCATACATCTGAATTCAGATTGCTTCTTTGTAGATATATACATAGTGCTCTACTCGAAAAAGTTTCCACAATGGATAGCTCATTAATTTAGGCCCCCACCTGTGTAGTTCATGTTCCACTCCTTGCCAATCATCAGTGTTGCCAGATTCTAAATTTCATTTGTGGTCTCAAGATCTCCTCTGGTTCCTGGCTTCTGCTTCTTACATGTTGTTTTTTTTTGGTTTTTTGTTTGTTTGTTTTTAGAATTATTTATTTATGCACACAGAACTAGGGTACCAGTTCTAGGGCCAGAGGTGCAGGGGTGGTAAGAGGATTCACCAGAGACAGAGTAGGGAGCAGAACAGGCAGATCGACAAGGTAGATCGACAAGGTAAACTGCTGAGGGGAGCAGTGGGTGAATCAAGAGAAATCTGCCGTGTCATGTGGGTAATCTCTGGGGCAGGCAGAACCGAACTCATGATGAAGTGGTTTTAGCTTCTTAATACTGTACTTAATACTGTGCCACCAGGGAGAGCCCTCTACATGTTGTTTTTATCTTACCCATCTAAACTCATCCTGTTCACTGATTTGCACATAAAATGTATTCCTGCAAAAGGTGCTAAATTTAGGGGATGTTCCTGAAGATTTAAAGAAATACAGAGGAGAGGAAGAGTTGCTTGCTTTTTTTTTTTTTTTTGTACAAAGGCATTCAACAAAAACAGTTGGCATTTTCATCTTAAAACATTGTCCTTTCACAGCTTCCACAAAAGGGATTTCTGGTTTCACATTTCTGTGTGTTTGCTCTCCTCTTCCAAAATTTTTCCTCCCTTCTTCCCAGAACTCCCCAAATTTCCAGTGCACCAATTCTTGTCTATTACTCTCAGATTTATAAACTAGAACTATTAGGTTCAGACAGAGGGAACTTTTGTTTCCCAAAACAAACCCTTTCCAGACAGCAGTTTTGATTATAAATAGTAAATTCATGATCTTTTAATTTATAGTAGGACAAGTTACATTTATGAATTCTTGAATTATGTGAATGGAAAGAGAAATTTATCTGAAAATAATTGTAGTCACCAAATTTTTAATGCATTTGCACAGTTAAGCAATTTGTATAGGTTTAATCCGCACAATATCTTTGGAAGGTAAGTAATATTTTATGATTTCTTCCATGTAGAAATCAAGGATTTCAGCTGATTTGCTCCAAGACAGCAATTTATTAATGGTAGAGTTTGGCACTAGTCTGTTAGATTTCACTGTTTTTATTTTATTCTCCCCATGTATTGTTTTTATTTGTTCTAAATTCTCTATGGTGAATAATATGTGTCATAATTTAAACTTTGGTCAGAGTGTTACAGGGCAACCCAATGTGAACTGGGTTGCCTGTCTGTGGGTCCTCATCAGCAAGCTTAAAATTCAGTTGTACTGCAGGCACACACAAATAGGGCCAATAATGGGTTTATTTACAAAGGGGAAATGAAAAGGAACAACCCAGGGAAAGGAGAGAGAGAGAGAGATAAGTTCACTAGAACATCCTACCAGCTCTGTTGAATTGGAACTCCAGTAACACACTGATAGCTTATCAAGAGCCTAATGACCAGCCACCAGCCACAAAGTACAGAGAACATCTAACATGGCTCCCTTATACATCCCCAAAAGTCCCAGAATGTCTGCTTAGCTCCTTCCTTGGGTCATCGCAGTTCTCTCTGTGTTATTGCTGGGAGTTGTAATTTCAATAACTGGAGTAAGGAGTGGAGTCCAGAAAACTGGAGTAGGGGGTGGAGTTCATAAAACTGCAGAGTTCCTTCAAGACATCCTTCCCCCCTAACAAGAGGGAAAATATGAGCTAGATATCCTGTTTGTAGGAAAATGTGTTGATAATTCTTTCATGATTATAAGAGTGACAATTGCAGATAAAAATGTGAGGGTGGATGGTCAAATTTAGGAAATTAAAGAACAGCGAAAATAATAAGGAAGGTAATTTCTAGCATAGCTGGAAGATAGACCTGCTGAAAATCTGCAACTTCCGAAGGAAAAATTAGTAACAGCATAATCCTGATATTCATTAGGCACAGCTTAGTTTTTGGATTGACATCTGAAATGCCTTTCCAGTTACCAATCCTGACAGTGTTTGGGGATGTAAAGGAAAATTGTAGATTGTTGCTAAAAGAAGGACAGAGATGTTTTGAAGGTCCAACCTGGGGAAAACAAGGTGGAAGCAATAGGTAGTGAATTGCTCACTGAAGTGCTAAATCCTAGCGCAGATTTGGACCTGGTGAATGTCCTCCTTAACCCACATAGATTGACCGGGGTGCTGGGGGTTCAGCTAGCTACATGGTAAAAGGTGGTTTTCAACCTGTTGAAATATAAATGTTAGTAAACACAAAACAGGATCAGTCAATTTTTCTTAAAAGTCACTGTTTTGGTTTATCAACATTGTAGTTGATTCACAGCAAAGCTAGCTTCTTATTGAGCAAGTTACTTTGTTACCATGCGTATTTTCTATTTTTGGATATTTTTCATAGCACCAGGAAGACTTTGTAAAATAAGCACATTCCTATTCCATGGGGATTGTGGGGTGGTGCACTTGGCTAAAAGACAGTTATGTTTATTTTCAACATATAATCAGTTGCAGATGGGTGTGAATTAAGATTAGGATAAAGAAAAGTGAATAACTTTCTGAATCCTCCTATACTTGATTTTGAAGAAATTTCATGATAGATTTTAGAGAGAGATTCTATGTGTACATCAAATGAATAACATGAATATATTTTCTAAAGGCCATTTTAATTAATGCTTAATTATCTGTTTCTCAGATGCCTCTGTTGATATGAGTCTAAATTTTTGAGATTTCTAAATTTACTTTGTTAACCAGAAATAACTTGAATCAGTGATCAAAAGAGCTCACACATACTAAGAACCTTTTTATACTAAGTTCTGTTTCAAGTACATTGAATAGATATTAGTTTTTCTTTGTAATAACCCAAGGAGTTTACTATCATCTCTATTTTACAGTTGAGAAAACTAAAACAGAGAAATGTTAATATCTACCTTCATAAAGTTAGTGGATGATAAAAATGGCATCAGAACCCTCGAAGGGTACTATGGAGCTCTTGCAGTCCATTCTACTTGGACAGACTTAGAATATGTATAAGTATTGACAAGAATGAGCCCAGTCGAGGAAGAAAAATTGAAGCTAGGGAACAATCAATCAATTTAATAGGTCCTTTGAAAAGAGTATACTTTTAGAAAAGATGTGTGTGTTCATTTCATCTCCTTCACTTCTGTAAGATGCTTCCATATTGACATTATTTGTCAGTTTCTTGTGACTATTTTATGTTAACTCTCGATCTGAGATAAACTCAAAGATAAACAGTAATATTGTTCTCTTTCCTGAATGCTAGAGCTATCACTTCCCAGTTAACCATATGTGACAATTCTGTTGTCTGATTTATCATCTTTTGGGGTGACTTTTTCTTCATGATTCAGCAAAGGAACAAATTCAAGTTTTAGCAATTGTTATTATCAAACAGAGTTGCAAAGTTAAGCCAACTGTTGGATCACCTGGAACATTCTCAAGAAAAATCTGCAAGACCCAATTCTTCATCATCCTCATATAAATCCTCTGCTGTCCTTTGTTACATAAAAAGTCAAGGGCTAAGTTCTTTGTAACTTTGTTAATTTGTTCTCTTCTGTGCTAAATATTGCCAGCAAAGAAAATGGATGTTATTTATATTAAATGTATTTTGTAAATTACCTGGTATTGCTTTTCTGATACCATAACACCTGCTTAACAAAGAATGGCTTTTAATTTAATATTTTTAATACTAATATAGACCTGATCTTAAGGGTTTATAGCTGTTTTGTGTCGATAAAAAGCTTTGTCTTTTTAATTATCTTTTCTAAGAGATCTATGACAAGATTCTTTGGTATATAGAAGGTCTTAATTTGGTCATAGCGCAATTTTTCATTTTCTTTGTAGGTGAAGATAAATAATGATTTTAATTATGAATTTTATAATAGTAGCTGGTCTTATGTAAAGCATACATCAACAGATTATTCTTCATCTTCAAGTCGCAGTTTCTCTTTTATATATTCAAGCTCTTCTTCAGAAAGTCGAACTTCAACAACCTTCAATGAAATCCATAAAAATAAGGTTAGTATGAAATACTAATTTACTTTCCCATATTTACTGGTCTAAATATTGTTATTTTAGCAAAAGTGTATTTACCAAAAGGATCAGGTCTTATTTTTTTTAATTAAGTCAATAATATCTTCTTCAACTAGATAAAACAATACATTTACAAAATATAGTTCTTTTGATATTTTTATATTTTCAATTCTCATTCTTATTTGAAAATCTTCTAGTTAAAACTATTCTAAATTTCTAATTCATGATTGCTGATGCTATATACAATTAAAAGATTCAATTAATGTGTACTTCCTAAACACTAACACTAAAGTCTTTTTTTAGAAGGTATGTATGAAACTTACTTCCTTTGATTGCATAGTTAGGAATCAGGAAACGTTGATTGTCTCTTAATTGCTGTATCATACTATTAAAAATTCATCTAAAAAAGGAAGCTACATGAAATAAAAAAATGTAAAACATTTTATTACTTTGAGATCTCAAATCTTCATCTGAAGAAGGTAAAAAAAAAAGTTACTTTTTAGATACTGGGTTGTTTTGAGAAACTAGAACTTTGACCTTGGGCATTCTGATCATTCGCCATATTCATAGCTTCTCTCATTCTCAAAGTCAGTTAACTTGATTAGTAAATCACACCAGGGAGAAATAAAGAATATTGAGTTTGTTTTATGTTTAAGAAGTTGAATATTAAAATGTGAGCTGTGGAAACATTTATCATTTCCATATTATATTGGTCACATAAGTGAGGATTTGGTATAAGGTAGATATGTGTTTTGGATATCATTCAAATACAGTAGCACATGGGTGAATTGGTGGTGGGAAGTCCACAGGGATTACAACCAAGATGAAAAAATGTACAAAAAGAAGAATGAGGTAATATATGTGTGTGTGTTTATATATATATATATATATATATATATATATATAAACACACACACATATATGTATATATGTATATATATATGATAAAATATTTAAAAATATGCTTAAGAAATGTTAAGAAGACTTCATTGTAATGTGGCTTAAGTTGTAAATGTTCCAGTATAGGAGATAAATTATTTTATTACTCTATCTATAAATCATACTCAAAGGAGGATCTAAGAGTCACATTATTTTACATACTATTTGTAACAATATTTAATTCATGAAGCTGATTCTCTTTTTCTGGTTGAGGGGATAGCAACTTAGTTTTGATAAGATTAATTCATTCAGGTGGTAAGGCCATAAACCTTGGTTTTGAAATTTAAGGCATCTATAAAAGAAATTTCCATGACATCACTCAGATATTATGACTATTTGGAACTCCAAAAATTCCTTAGATTGTTTCAAGTGGGAAAGGTCAGAAGAAACCTTATCATACAAGAAAATTTTTCTTCTAAACATTTTTTTAAAAGATTTATTTATTTATGCTTATAGAACTAGGGTACAGGCCAAAGGTTTGGTGGGTGAGAGGATTCACAGAGTAGGGAGCAGGCAGATGGACTGAAATACACTGCTGAGGGGAGCCATGGGTGGGTCAGAAGAGGTCTGCCACGCCATGTGGGTCAGTGCCCTGGCTGGGGATAGAACTTGTGCTGCAGTGGCTTCAGAGAGCTTCATAATGCAGTGCTTTAACCCGTTGTGCCACCAGGGAGAGTCCTCTTTTAAACATTTTTAAAATTAATTAATCAATTTAAATAATTTTTAAATTAAATTAACTTTTCTAATTAATTATTTTATTTTTCCATTAAAAAAACTCATGTATTCCCAGATGATTTGAGGTGGCGGTTAATGTAAATGTTGGCTAGGGAACTGTTTTCATTGCTTTTTCATCTGCAATCTAAACTCCCTTTCCTTTTTTTCCTTTCCAGAATTATCAGTTGATGGTTGTTCAGAACAATGTTGAAGTGGCACAGTTTATCAATAACAATCCAGAATTTTTGCAACTCTCTGAGCCATTTTGGAAGGAGCTTTCCTACCTTCCCTCTCTGTATGACTACAGTGCCTACCGAAAGTTAATTGACAAATACGGGACACATTATCTACAGTCTGGTTCCTTAGGAGGAGAATACAAAGTTCTATTCTATCTGGATTCAGACAAAATCAAACAACGTGGTACAGTATTAAAAAATTATTATATGAAATCATTGTAGGGATTTTAATAGGGAAAACCATGTAGTTAACTTGAACTTCAGAACTTTAAAGTATGAGAGGTAGAGTTTAAACTGCAATGGAATCCAACATTGTAAAAATCTGCTATGTACACTATGTAAAATCTCACAAGCTAGCCTGCTGTTTTGACTAGGACCCAGAAATGTGAGTTAAGGCACTGCCATTACTGATTACCTCCAGAGTGTTGATTGGATTTTAGAAATTCCTTAACCTTTTTTGTTTTTTACATTAAATAATATTTCTTGAGGAAAACTAATGAAGAATTTATTGATACAGAAGAAATAATAAATTTTAAAAAGAAGTATTTTATTTACCTCTGTTTTTTACTCATATTCTTTTACTACTCATACTCCCAACCTTGATGCACACTTTCTTCCCTATTCCACATCATCTCTTCAGGTTGTTTCTTTTCAGTCAAGATTTCTTACAGCACCTCCCTGATGGTATAACGGGTTAAAGTCAGCACTATGAAGTTATCCGTAGTCACTATAGCAAGAGTTTGATCACTGGTCAGGGAGCTGACCCACATGGTACGGCAGTCTTCTCCTGTGTTGCCCACTGCTCCCCTCAGCAGTGTATTTCAGTAGATGTGCCTGGTATGACACCACTCTGATTCTAGTGAATTCTCTCCCCCTCTGCACCTAGCCTGTACCCCAATCCTTGTATGCATAAATAAACCTTAAAAAGTGACTCCTTAAAATCTGGAGAGGTTCTGATATGAAATTCAGAGGAGATGTAACACTTTGGGTAAACTTTTGTGTTGATATGTACCTTTTTCCCTTGGTTAATATTTCCATTGGGCTTAATTTTTACCAATTAAGATGTAATGAGATTTTGAACATCACTGTTTGGAAATGCACAAGTACAGGTTTTTGTTGCAACAACAGAAACAATATTTCTTTGGGAAATCAACTCAGCAAGTGACTTGATCTAAACTCAGTTGCACTGCCCTATATTATTTTTATGTATGAATTTACTTATTTATTTTACAGTTATGCATATAAGCACTGGGGTATACAAGCCAGAGGTACAGGGGGTGTGTGGACAGGGTGAGAAGATTCTCCAGAAACAGGCAGATCAATGAAGTACACTGCTGAGGGGAGCAGTGGGCAAGTCAGGAGAGATCTTCTGTGCCATGTGGGCAGCTCCCTGCTGGGGAATCACACTCTTGCTGCAGAGGCTGTGGACTTGCTTTACACTGCTGAGACTTAACCCCTTGTGCACCAAGGAGGCCTTTCACTGCCCTTTATAAAAATTTTTAGCACTTCAAAGAAACAGAAAGGACATTTTAAAGCTTTTCAAGTTGGTATGAGTATTTCTTGAGCAAAACTTTTATATGGAGCACATCTGATCATCCTAAAAATTTTAATTTAAGTAAAATTTTGGTTAAAGCTTCTGAGGTATAACATATGCCCTCAAGGCTTCTTTAACAAAAATTGAGAGTATTAAAATACTAGTAAAATTATTAGAGAAAAATGTTTTTCCATAATATTGTTTTCAGATCTGCTTTTAAAAACGGCATGGCTAAATTCCATTTAATAATGAGTAAAGGTTGTCATGGCATAAGATTAAGAGTCATACAACAGAAATGTTAGGACCCAGAGAGATGTTAAAGATGAGGACGTTGAAGCAGCAGAACCAGGGTTTTAAGAAATAGTTACTGTAGAACCAGAACCTAGATGCTGGTGTTTCCCGTGGGTAGTCTGGAGGCCACTACACACTTTAAGTGTTTGCTTTATGTCTGAGAAGCTGACTACCTTTGGGTGAAAGAGATCACTCTTTACGGTGTGCAGTTTTGCTTCCTCCACTGTCTCATGTAGAAATCGCCCTTATCTCTTCCTCTCTGGTCAGAAGATGTTTATATTAGCCGAACCACTTGTTCCAACCCTAACTTAACACTTTATGTTTTTCATCGATTATTTTACTTAGTATCAAAATCCAATATCCCTTTTTCTGCTCCTTGATCCTTCCAGGGCACCTGAAAGTGTGTATATCATATTACTCTTGATTAGATTGCCACAGCAGTAGGGAGCAGCCTCTCACGCCCACTCTCACACCTGACCGTGATTGCCTTAAAGGAGTTCTTCCACAAATGTGGAAATAAAGCATCTTACAATTTTTCTTCCAGGTCTCAAATCAATAGATCAGAATAAATGCGCTTCTTCACATGTTAATATTATATTTGCTCAGTCCAAAAGCCAGGAATGTGAGGATCTAAAAGAGACCTTAAAAAAAGCTTCAGGTAAATGAGAACAGTGTTGTGGTGATGGGAGGCAGGGGAGAAGAGGGAGAGGGTGAACCTGCATTATAAGCTTCTTATCCATACTCTTTTGATTAATTCCTGGTCTTGAAGGACTTTATAGATATTCTATTTTGTGTCTTTCATATATTTGTGGGTGTTTGTGATTTTGTTTATTTGTTTGTTTGTTTGTTTTGCCTCCGATCTCTCTTCATATGCCATGGCAGTGAGATACTACAGAGTGAACGTTGGTTGGGTGTCTCCTGTGCAATATAAATATGTAAGGTGCTTAATGTCCTCCATGACATTTTTATATTACAGCCTTTCTGCTTCCATGAAGAAGGTTGCCAAATGAGCCTAGGAAAGTGACACTAAAAGGAGAAGGTTCATGGGGGCTAAGTGCATTTAAAAGTTTGTTTTTTTTTTTAAAGATTTATTTATTTGTGCATGCAGAACTGGGGTACAGGCCAGAGGCTCAGGGGCGGTGAGAGGCTTCACCAGAGACAGAGTGGGGAGCAGAACAGGCAGATCGACGAAGTACACTGCTGAGGGGAGCAGCGGGCGGGTCAGGAGAGGTCTGCCACGCCATGTGGTCACCTCCGGGGCAGGCGGGAATTGAACTCATGCGGAAGCGGCTTTAGATTCTCAGTGCTGTGCTTTAACCCGCTGCGCTACCAGGGAGGGCCGCATTTAAAAGTTTTTGAATATCTTGGTGTTGCAAGAGAGGAGAGGGAAGTTTGCTATCTTTGAGTGACTGAAGAAGGTGCCTATGATGCCATGTAAAGGAGTTTGATTTTTTTCCTAATGATGAGGAATACTATTAAAGGCTTAATACAGAGAATGATGAAATGAAAAATTGCACAGGTAAAATTAGCCAGAAATAAAGAGGGAATGAGAAAGAACAAGCGAATAGGATAAGAACCAGACAAAATCAGTAACATGGACAGTAATGAGGAGGAGAGATCAACATAGAGAAATGCCAGGGGAAAGTTAAGAGGAGGATAAGTTTCTTGATTGGATTTCAGACTGAATTGCCTTAAAATGAAGAGATTCTCCATATGATAGAAAGGAGAGCCATATTTCAGCGCATTGCAGGAGGTTGTGTTTGGAGCAGTGTCGGAGCTAATGTTCTGGGTGATGGACTATGTTGGTGGATGATTGGTACTTTGGTGGGAGGTGAGGTGTGGTGGCATACTTCTGAATAGGTGGGCACCTGTACCTCTAAATCATACACAATGGTATGAAACAAGGTAACCTGAAATGTGTAACAAAAAGATACAATTAAAAAAACTTTTTAAAAGGTTTTCTAGGGTGACAGCGGAAAGTGAGGTAGTGCTGAATACTGACTCAACTGCCAAAGTTATTATCGAGGAGTTGGGGGTTTGGGGGTTTGTAGGTGAGTACAGGAAGGAAGAAGAGGGAAGTAAAGTCAGGTCTATTTACTCTATTTTATTTATCAACTATTTGTGGACCCATTAGTATGTGTCAGAAATTGTTCTAAGCACTGAGGATACAGCAGTGAATCTCCCAGAGATAGTGTCTGTTTTCATGGAGTTCACATGACAAAGGAAGAGGAAAAATTTTGGATAAGATGTAAATATATTGATTGGGGAACAGATGTGGAGGTGGGAGCTTTCAGAAGAAGCTGACATCAATTGTCAACTGGGCTGCTGACTGGGAGGTGTTTATTGATTTTATTTTGTATTTAACAAACATACAGCCCTTTCAATATATCAAGGACAGTTGTGCAGGATTCATAAAAATCAGTCAGTACACTCCACCTACCAAAGAGTTAGGTTTTACTCATATTTCCATTTTATAGACAGGGACACTGAGGTTGCCGAGATCACACATGGTAACCAGGTCACACAGACACCAGAATTAAATGCCTGAAATCGGGCTTCACTGTCTGGGCTGGTTACTGTTGATTCAGGCTGATTGTCTAAGGGAAGAGGCCCTGTTAGTAAAGAGCACTCACAGGGACTGCTGCAGACCTAAAATCAATATCAAAATGGATTTTTTAGAATTTGTCTTTTGAAAACAGGTGTGCCACTTAAGGCAAGGAGTTTCTTTTTTTAAAATTTATTTTTTTCGGGGCCCTCCCTGGTGGCACAGTGGGTTAAAGCACACCACTAAGAAGCTAAAGCCACTGCAGCATGAGTTCGATTCCCACCTGCCCCGGAGGTGATCCACATGGCGAGGTAGACTTCTCCTGACCCGCCCACTGCGCCCCTCAGCAGTGTGCTTTGTCGATCTTACTGTTCTGCTCCCCACCGTGTCTCTGGTGAATCCTCTCACCACCTTGCGCCTCTAGCCTGTATCCCGGTTCTGTATGTATAAATAAATAAATCTAGAAAAAAAATTATTTTATTTATTTATGCATACAAGAACTGGGATGCAGGCCAGAGGTGCAAGGTTGAGAGGACTCACCAGAGACAGAGTTGGGAGCAGAACAGGCAGATTGCCTGAAATACACCACTGAGGGGTGCAGCAAGTGAGACAGGACAGATGCTGCACCATGTGGGTCAGGTCCCTGGCTCAAGATCCAACCAAGGCAACAGTGTCATCGAAGCCCTAGGCCACCAGGGAAGTTTCTTTCAAGCTTTCTTTTCAAGCATTAGTAGGTATGAGAACTACCTTTGGGAACCTGCTAAACCACTGATTCTAAAGCTTAATCTCTTGCTGGTCTTAATTGGAGCCCAGAAATCTGTATTTACTCCAGGTGATTCTTATTCACATAGTTAAGGGACTATTTGTATACTAAAAAAAATAACCAAAAATGAGGATAAGGAAGCATTCAGGCCACTTATTATTTGAAAAATCAGGTTTTAATAATTTCTGATACCAAAAGTACAATTTTAAAATGTTATGGAAATTTATGAAATTGTAACAAAAAAGGAATTGAAAATCACCTCAAATGTAATCTGCCAATTAGGAATTTCTAGCATGCCCTGTGTAAAAATCAATTACAGATGGAGATAAAAATATTCCTGGAATTATAAGGCACATAAATATAAAAAGAGATTCAATTAGTATTCAAACTTTTTAGAACATTTTTGATGCATTAATGTATGGTTGTAAATTAGTTGGTTTTTTGGTTTATTGTTAGTATTCCAAGTGCAATTAACTATTTTTCCTCTGATATTTTATTTTGAAAATCTTCAATATAAGGGGAAAAAATGAATGAGCATAGTATTAAACACTCACCACCTACTTCACAAATGTAACAAATACTATTTTGCTATTTTCCTATGTATACTTACATGTAGTATCCACTGATATTGCATGTTTAAAATAGAATTTTGCTGAACTATCTGGAATATGTTTCAGACATGACTATGCTTTATTCTTAAATATGTATATACTCCTCACTACACCTAGAACATTAATACTATGAAGAATAATTCCCTAATGATTGTATTTTTCTTTTAATAGAAATGCTTTTTTTAGAGCAGTTTTAGGTTCACAGCACAACTGAGCAAAAAGCAGAGTTCCCAGATGCCTCGGTCCCCCCATACGCAGCCTCCTCCACCATCAGCATCTAGTGGTGAATTGCTTCTAATTTGTGAACCTACACTGACATATTATTCTCACCCACAACCCCTAGATTACTTTACTATTATTAGCTTTTAACTATTTTATTTATTAATTTTTGCATAGAAGAACTGAGGTGTAGGCCACAGTTGAGGATTGGGGGGTGAGAGCACTCACCAGAGACAGAGTCGGGGTGCAGAACAGGTAGACTGATTGAAATACACTGCTTGGGGGAAGAAGTGGGGGTCATAGTAGAGGGCCTTGTGGGTCAACTTGCTGGCTGCCATCAAACTCAGGAGGCCCATAATAGTGCTGAGGCTTAACCCCTGAGCACCAGGGAAAGCCCACAGTCTCTAGTTTACATTGAGGGTTACTTTTGGTGTTGGATATTCTAGATGTTTGGGCATATGTTTAGTAACAAGCTCCAACCATTATCATACAGAACATGAGAGTGGTTTCATTGCCCTCAAAATCTTTTCTGTTTTATTTATTTATTCTACCCCCACCCTTGGAAACTTTTGCATTCCATAATTTTGCATTTTTCAGGGTTGTACAGTTAGATGAATTATGTTTAAGACTCTTGACTTTTTACTTTTATTTTCTCACTTTGATTTTGTTTATGAATTTGACTTTTTCATTTAAAATTTTCCTGGTGTAGGAACTGGGAAGAAAGGGTTGGAAGGAGACACTCTTGTCAGAGGGGGAAGTTTAGCCTTTGTGTCTGGTCTGAGTTACTTGGACTTGGAAGATCCTGCTGGAAACAGGCAGCGATATTCTGCATGGGCAAGATCTGTGACTGATAATCCCAAGGTCATAAAACAAAAGGTAAGTGACACTCTTTTAGGTTGCAGAAGATAGTTACATTTACTTGCATTGGAAAATGTGATTAAATCAAGATCTTTAAACAGAGAAGTCTGCAATTAGCATTTTGAATCCCAATTATGTTTTGTATGGTAAAATGAATGCATGCATAATAATAAGAAACAGAGGTTCGTTATCTTGTATGTCCATATTTTAATTGTAAAGGTTAAATGTCTTGTGATTCCTAAGAGAAATTAATGACAAAATTTGCCTATTAAACTTTCAACATAATTTGATTATGTTTTCTTCTGTCCCTAATTCAGAGTTACCCTGGCAAGAGGAAGGTATCAGCCATACCTGCTGTTACATCCCACAGGTCATCTTTATTCCTGTGGTCTCACTTGTACACTCCTAGAGTCATGTAAATGAAGATAGAACCAATTTGGCTGTTAGGATTTCAGAATTTTTATACAGTTTTTGTAGCAGAACGTATGTATTCCTAAAGATAGGAGAGCTAGCTGTGATTGTGCAGTAAGAGACCAGCACTTACAGAAACCATGGAGTTAGTGACCAACACTATTAGAGTTTGAAAAAAAGGATAGGCATTCATAAAAGCAACTACACAGCTTTACACATGCTAAATCATTAAGAAACATTGAGTACTACAATAAAGGTTGCCCAGTACCTAGAAAGGCGAACTGAGGCCTGCTTGTGTGTTATAGCTTGTGAACTATAGCTTGTGAACTATTGTGAAGTGAGAAGGAAAACAATCAGAAATGACAGGCAGGTATAGCACCAGAGTGGGTGGGTGTAGTTTATTATACAGGCAGCAGACTCGATGGATGTGTGAGGTGAATGTCTTGTGTATCTTTTTGTGTCTCTAAGCAGCTGGTTTTAGTGCTGTCCACTTTTCTGTGTTCACCTGGTGTTTCTTGTGGATGAAGTTGTACGTGTAAGAAAACATTTAAATCTTTTAAAGTCCTATGTCATCGATTTGGGAAAACCAAATATTCCTTTTCATTCTCAACTATGTACTTTCCCACGCAGGGCTGCAAGCATCACAGAGCCGTGCACAGTTAGTAAGAGGGACAGGGAGCAGAAAGTGAACAGGACACTGTGCAGGTATACCTGCAATGCTACCCAGTGCAGAAGTGTGTGGGCAGAGCTGGCGGGAAGTGGACAGACTCTAAGTTCATCTCCATCATCCCAGTGGAGTGCTACAGCCAGTTCTCACAGATTTTTCTCACAAGCCAACTTTTCCCCACGTTGGGCTCAGTGACAACAGGGTGGTAGTCTGAAATCGCCCTGGAGAGAGTAGTTAAAGTGCCTAAATTGACAATTGCTGCACTTCAGAGACATTTTGTTCCCAGGGAGCAGATTGTTAAAGCACATCTATGGCCTTGAAGTTTTTTTCTTTGGACATATCCAGCGCAAAGCAATAATGTCTACCTGTTTTAAATTTCTCCAGAGTGAGAGTCCTAGTCTTCACTAGAGAGTCTTATAACATCTCTCAGTCAGGAAATTTAATCTTAAGTCTAGTTGTACTTGTTGTATTGCTGTGATTTAAGTGCATTTCTGTGTCTTCTGTGCACTGCAGGTGTAAAAAGGTATTGTCTTTAAAATAGCCTTTCAATGACTAGATTTTTTTTATTAACAGTTTTTTTATATAACAGTTTATTTTTACATCATTTTGTACATTTTTTTTCCATCTCAATTGTAATCCCCGCGGGTTTCCCATCACTAAGTCACCCATGTGCCATCACCATAATCCCGTGCACTTCCCTCCCCACCCCACCCCACCCCCGTTTTTGATCCCATTCTCCACTCCACCCCCGCAAAATGTCTCTGGTATATGGCTGTTCATTATTCTTGTTATTTTCTCTTCTGGTCCATTATACTCCTGCTATGTATGAGTGAAACCATCCTGTATTTTTCTTTCTCTTTCTGGCTTATCTCACTAAGCATGATCTTTCCCAGCTCCATCAATGACTAGATTTTATGCATGCACACAAACTATAAAAATTATGGGCCTAATTCTGTCTCAGTTATTTTGCAAAGAGTGTAAATTGCTTTTTCTTTTTATTTGAGCAAGAAACCATTGGAATCAACATGAGTAGGTTTTGATTTTGTTTTCATAGGGATTGAGCCTAAACACAAATAGAAAAATATTCTCACATAAACTCTGATTAGTGACTGTGATATCTTTGTCTATATAGCTGACACCTTTGTATGAGCTAGTAAAAGAGGTACCCTGTGCCTCTGTGAAAAGACTATACTTGAAACGGGCTCTTGAGGAATATTTGGATGAATTTGATCCCTGCCACTGCCGACCTTGCCAAAATGGTGGCCTCCCCACCGTTCAGGGGACCCAGTGCTTGTGCCATTGTAAGCCATACACATTTGGTGTAGCCTGTGAACATGGAGTACTTGTGGGGGATCACGCAGGTGAGTGTGCTATATTTTCTTTACTTACTCTGGGCACATAGAAATGGAAATTAGGGCCTCCCTGGTGGTGCAAGAGGTTAAGTCTCAGCACTATGAATTTCTCAACAGCCACTGCAGCATAGAGTTAACCCACATGGCACAGCAGACTTCTCCTGCCTCTCCGGCTGTTCCCATCAGCAGTGTACTTCACTAAATCTGCCTGTTCTGCTCCCCACTCTGATTCTGGTGAATCCTCTCACCCAAATGCCTCTGACTTGTACCCCAGTTCTTTTATACATAAATAAATCTTTTTTTTTTAAAGGAAATTATCCTTCTCCTCCAGATTATTTGATGAGGAGGCGAAAGTCTCTTTTTGACACTTGAAGTTCACATTTCTCTCCTTAGTCTACCTCTAGATTACAGCTGCTGGGATCAAATGCCCACGACTGTCTGTCTTCTTTTGTGAATTAATAGATGCACATACCATCCATCCAGTTTTCTGTTCCAGATAGATCTATCCATCTATAGTCTTCTCATTAATTTTTTGTCACAATGAAGGGTATGGAGCTTGTGCTTGCATCTAAACTTTGTGAGGGTAAGCTCTAATTCTGGTTTGTATTATATATAAACTATTCACAAATATTGGTGCTTTTCACATAAAAGTCAACAGGATGACTTTGATTAAGCAAAATATGTATGTATATTTGTTTATGTATTTTTATGTATATTTGTTTCTATATATATTTACATGTCTATTTTCTAGAAAGTTCATTTCTTAAGATCAGGACTTTATTCTCAGAGCCTGATACAGGGTTTGATTCATAAAATCACTAATGAAAGGAACTGGCTAAACTTCGGTTGCTTATATTATAGACAAGCACCAGGAAGGTATCTTTGCCTTCAGCTTTGCTCGATTGCCTGGCTGATAAATGAAATTCCACCATGTGGTTCATACATTTGTGGCTTGGATTTCTGGTTATTTGATAAAATGGAAGCCCTCCTCTGTCCCCAACCTCCTTACTGTTAAGAATGAGCTCTGAATCTTCCTCAACAAGTGCTGAAGATCAGCTTCAGCTGAGATAGTGAGGGTCTTCTGCAGGAAAGGATAGCATCGGCGAAGGTGAGAGAGACAGAAGGAGAAAAGATGAAGTAGAAAAATGAGGAGACACAGACACCTGTTTAGGGTGAAATCATTTTCTGCCGATTGTCCCAGCAGGTCTTTATACATTACAGGTAAGCAGTGGGATTACATCAGTGTGTGTATAAACCAGAAAGATAATAATCATCACATTTTTCTTAAAGATAGTTTGGGACTTTTTGATCTCTTATTGAGACTGTGATATTCACACACAAAATGTCCCTATAGTGACCAGTCATTAATAAACAAAATATTCCTGTAGTGATGGGTTATCAAACAAAATATTCCTATGATGACCAGTTAGCTATTATAACTTAAGCAATCATTTTGTTATCAATGAACTTACATTTTAAAGTTACAGGATCTAATGTTAAGGAACTAGGAGTCAGAAAAACACCAATGCTGAGTGCACTGACATTTCCCTGCCCCTAAGGAAAAACTCCTTTTTTTGATCCACAATAGGAGCTTCTATTAATCACTATTCCTGTAATTGTTCTGTCAACTTAGTCTCTATATCTAACATAAGAATTAGGGGGATATTTCTTTCTTTATGGTCACTGATTATTATCCTATTAATCTTATCTAAAAAACCTTTCTATGTGAAAAGAGATTGGGGTGAAAGTTAAAGGAAAGAGTAGGAAAGCTTATTATTATTTATAACTCTATTAATTAAAACCAACTATGTTACTTAAAACTATAGATCTTTTATTGGGGACTGAGCAGGAAATTATTACAGCCTTAGGTTCCCAGAATTCTTGGACTTTGATGTGTCTCTCGTTATTGTGGGACCTAGATTTGTGTCAGCCTTCTCAAGCAGAGGAATGTTAATTATTTTACAATATACTGTGCTGTTCTGTGTACAGTGTTATTGTTATTGAACCAATCAATCCAATCAAGTACTTACTGATTTTATACTGAATGTATATTTGGACAATTGCTATGCTTTTGGGGAATGGCCAAAAACAAACCATACTTCTTAGGAACAGCCATAAACAATTGAAAAGAATCTAGCAGGAGCCAGCTGTGGAATATCCTGACTTTTCAGGTATTTTTCCCCTATTTCAGGATCTTGTCATACAACGTGGATAGCATGGCTCTTGCCAAACAAGTACTTTAGTACTAAACCACTTCTCTCTCACTTTACAGGAGGGGTTGATGGAGGATGGAGTTGTTGGTCTTCTTGGGAACCCTGTGTTCAAGGGAAGAAAACAAGGACCCGGCAATGTAATAACCCACCTCCTAGTGATGGTGGGAAATCCTGTATTGGAGAAACATCAGAAAACAAGCCGTGTGAGGATGAAGAGCTGGAGCATTTCCGGTAACGGAGACCAGACTTCCCGGAAGAGACCTTTGTGGTCTCAATGGAATATGTGGCTGCTGCTGTTGAGATTTTTTTTTTTTTAGATTTATTTATTTATGCATACAGAACTGGGCTACAGGCCAGAGGTGCAGGGGCAATGAGAGGATTCACCAGAGACAGAGTTGGGAGCAGAACAGGCCAATTGAGGAAGTACACTGCTGAGGGGAGCAGCAGGCCGGTCAGGAGAGGTCTGCCACGCCATGTGGATCACCTCAGGGTGGGGGCTCTAACTCATGCTGAAGAGACTTTAGCTTCGTAGTGTTGTGCTTTAACCCTCTGCGCCACTAGGGAGGGCCCCCCTGTTGTTGAGAAATTTAAAGATTAAGTGGCAATTTTTATCAGCCACTGCTTTGCCTTTAGCACTGGGTTAGTGGAAGGAGGGAGTCATGCTGGCACCAATTTATTCTTGTGAGAGTCAAGTTTTGCTGGCCCAGGAGTTCCAAAAGGCTGAGGGACCTGGAGACAGACAGACTGAGGGGACTGAGTTGCAACTGCCAGTATCTCCTGCCTGCTTGCTGTGTGGCCTTGGGCAAGTTACTTGCCACACCTCTAAAATTGGGATGATGACTGTAGCCAAAAGGATACTAGAATGTTGTCAAAATTGCAAGAGATTAGTCACACAAAATGATTAGTTCAGCCTCAAGCTCAGTAAGCATTTGGTAACAGTTCTATTACTGTTCAGTTCTATTACTCTCTCTTATTTGCTGTTTGCTTTAAGCACGAAGCCAGCACTTGAGATAACCAATATTTTGATTGATTAGTCCAAATCCTTGACATCAATTTTTTTGGGCTCAGGACGTTACAAAAGTTATCTCAAAAAATGTCTAGGTGATGATTCATTCTCCTGGGTCAGAATTCTTTATGCTGCACCCAGTGTTTTATGCCGTCCTCTTATGATGGGGAATGGGCAAGAAGTTTCTAACATACGTGGAAGCTCACCTGATTTGAAGAAATGTGTTGGATACTTGTGTATCTTCTAGATACATGGGAGTGTGGGATGCCTTTTTCCTAGGCTTCTGGTGAAATATTTCTTAATTTGTGCAAGTCCATCTCATTAATTGTGTTGTGTCTCCTCTTCCTTTCAGATTGCTTGAACCACATTGTTTTCCTTTGATTTTGACCCCAACAGAATTCTGTGCAACACCACCTGTTTTGAAAAATGGATTTGTCCAAGTGGGTTATGAGGTGTTTTGTTTTTTTTTTTTTTTGCCCTTGACATGTACTTTTTACTCCAAGATCCTCTCTACTGATGTCCTCATCTATTTCCTCTTCCCTGATGAAATAGTACTAAAAATATTTTATGTGTGCATTTTAGTTTTAGTGGTGTGGGGTTTAGTTTGTGACTCTTCTTTGGCCCAAGGTGGTTAGAATTCTGCACAATACAGTATATCTTCTGCAGGAAGGGGAAATCAGTGATACTTCCCAAAGAATTAGAAATGGAGTTATGCCGGAGGGCTGCTAGACTTTTCCATTCAAGCACTAAAATAAGAATCTATGAGCACATTCTCCCACATAGAGAATTATCCCCTTTCTTGCCACTGAAAGATGTCTTTATTGTTCATAAAAACAGAATTTGGCATGGCATATTTAGGGTCATCCAGGAGACTATTCGGTCATTATACATTTTTCTCATTGAGGAAGGAACACAACTCAGCTGCCACTTGTCATTTGGGGAATTTTCTTGGCTTCAGGGCCACATTAATTCATGCTCTTCTTACTCTTTGTGGTGATAAGACTGACCCCAAGTACCAGTAACGCATCTTCATAGCTCATAGGAGATATTGCCCATCAGGACAAACTCTCCAGGCTTACAACCTAGCTTCTTCCACAAAGTTCTTTGCCTCTTAAATTCTAGGCCCTTAAACATATACTCATAGAGACTTTGCTGAAGTGTCCCCAACTTTAAATTTTGATGGAAGAAGTGTGTGTGTGTGTGTGTGTGTGTGTGTGTCTGTAGAGAGAAAGAGAGAGAATGAATGAGAAAAAATCTAGTATATTCAACGTGAATACTGTCCCATTAACTGCAGTCACCATATTTGAGGCTGTTCCTCACAGAAGCATGTGCTTGGGGAATGAGAGACCAACAAACGCATAAATTTTAGCAGACCTGAATCTACTGTCCCAATTCCAGTGCATGTGTTGTGGGACTCTGAACACTACCTCATGTTCTCCATTTTTCTCATTCCGTATATTTAGTGTAAAACCCGAGAACCATTTTTCTTTTTAAATTGCTATGGTGGTTCTGCTCTACAGCCAGCTATGAGTTAGACTATCCCATATAGAAGTTCCTTTTGAAGGCAGAAGAGTCTAGGGACTAAAAGCAAAGCAAGTCAAGTGTTCTCCCCGTTTTTCTTCATATTTCAATATTAACATGGGTCCTCTGACTCCCATGATGGAGTCAGACAATGAAATGGAGGAGAAGAGAGATGGACAGTGAGAATAAGGAGACACTGGTAGTGTTATTCTAATGCCTAGAGCAAGCTGATGGTGTTCTAAGTCTTTCCCCGAACAATTTTATTCACCCTTCTGTTGGGTTGCAGAGAGAGATAAGGAAAGGAACCCAGATGATCCCAGACAAACATGTTCACTCCCTCCAACCTCAGACTTACTTCACTCTGAAGCTCAGCTCCTGTCATTGTAGGCTAATGAAATATCCTTGAATTCATCCAGCTCCAGGAGCACTTCCCTTATGGGATGAAGTCAGCCAGTGTAGTGGGAGAAGAGAACATTATGCTTCCCCTAAAAGTCATCAGTAGGAAACAAATTTCCTGAACATACTGATAGGATTTGGACATTTCTGCTCATTTGGTGGTATTTATAAATCACTGGAATTTATCAGGCAAAATTGCCAGTGCCATAACACCTTACTCTGAAGGACATTTTCGAAATCTGAGAGCAAATAGCCTTGTGCTGAAAGCAAAAGGAAAATAAGTTACTTGGACAGTGTCCACTAAAGCGATTAAAGTAAAATGCTTAGAATTGTCACTGGTATTTTGGGGGTCGATCAACAAATTATAATGCACTGATATTAATGTCTATTTCAATTAATGGTGATGCCAATGTTGCCACCTAGGACTATACTGAGAGAGTTTTTACCAATAGTTTTTTTGATCAGTTGTTAGAATATAGGTTGCCTGATTAATTAAAACGTGGCATGATCTATAGTTCGATATATATAAGAAATATTTTGTTAATGCAAAATAGACAAACCTTTCCACTCTCTTTTATTTCCATCTAGGATGAAGGCACCCGGTTTCCTGTTGGGAAAAACATAGTATATAGTTGCAATGAAGGATTCTCTCTTGTTGGAGACCCTGTTGCTAGGTGTGGAGATGATTTACAGTGGCATGTTGGGGAAATGCACTGTCAGAGTGAGTAGCACAGTATATTATTTATACTGGTTGCAGTATATTATTTAAGAGGAGAGGACAATGCAGAGAGTAAGTTGGGATAAACAGCTGCTCACCTGCATGCCCCATGTTTTTCACTAACATCCCCCACCTTTTTGAAGGCTCATGTGATCATGGTCAGACTGCAGGAGTACCTTGAAAACACCCTCAACATTCTAGAGTTGAAAATGTTCCCATGAAGTGAACCGTATTTTATTGCATGTCTAAAGTTTCTGGTACAAACTAAGATAGGACAGAGAGCTCAGTTCAGGTTCACATTATGAGGATATTTTTTTGGGTTCAGTTATTGGAGGGCACTCCAGTCAACCTACTACATGTTTTGAATCCTATTCTGTCCAGATGTTGACATCTGGGTAAGTTCTTCCCGTTTACACCCAGATTTTTCTCTCCATTGTACTGGAATAGAAGTTCATCCAGCAGATGAGTGCCTAGCTATAGCCTTAGCAAATTGTCTGTCCTATGTCAGCTGGTCATTGCTATGAGTCAGTTTTAGTGCACGTCACATTTTTGTGTTTACACCTCTTGTGTTTACACTTGTTGGAGTCAAAGGGTACATAGACATTTAGACTTAGTCTTCCAAGGGGTTGTGCTAGCAACAGCCAGAAGCAGAGAAGTATGGATGGCTGAATCACCTACACTTGATATCATCTAGCTTTTAGAAAGTGCAGCCATAATACTGTTGAGTGTGTAGTGATATCTTACTTTTTTTTGTTTTTTGTTATTTTTTTTAAAGATTTATTTATTTGTTCATAGAGAACTGGGGTACAAGCCAGAGGCTCAGGGGCGGCGAGAGGCTTCACCAGAGACAGAGTGGGGAGCAGAACAGGCAGATCACCGAAGTACACTGCTGAGGGGAGCAGCGGGCGGGTCAGGAGAGGTCTGCCATGCCATGTGGTCACCTCCGGAGCAGGCGGGAATCGAACTCATGCGGAAGTGGCTTTAGCTTCTCAGTGCTGTGCTTTAACCCGCTGCACCACCAGGGAGGGCCGATATCTTACTTTTTAATGTGTATTTTTGTATTTGTACTTTTCCTTATCACTAATGCTGTTAACCCTGCTTTCATGTATCTATTGGTCATTTGGATATTCTCTTCAGTGAACTTGCTGCCCAATCCTTAGCCTGTTCTTTTTCTGTTCAGTTTGACACTTTCTTATTGTTTTGCAGGACCTCTCCCTTTTTGTCCCCCACACCCCACTCCCCTTTGCCTGTCTTCCTGGAGTTCTTGCTGAACATCCAGAAAAAAAGTTGAACTACTCTTTGGCCAAGAGTAAATATTTATTAAAAATAATAAAGCCAAAATTGAGTTACTTCTGCTGGAAGAGTTTCTTTTCCTTGATTGTGAAACTAGCAGTAAAAATTGCATTGCCTCAGATTTGTTAATCTAAAAATGTCTGTTTTTAAAAGATGTTTTTCTGAGGGATCTATAAATTGAGTAAGGAACCCTAGGGTCACAGTTATTTTCCTTAAAGCATTTATGATAATCCATTGCCTTCTCGTTGCACTGTCTCCTAGAGAGAAGTCAACTCTAAGTCTTTTTTTTTTTGTGTTCCTATATCTGGCTCATTTTAAGACATTATTTTGTCTTTGTATTTTAGCACCAGCCCTACTCTGTGTGTGCTTGTCTTTGTCTTTATCCTACTTGATAGTCAAAGTACTTCTTGAACTTGTACATTAATGTCTTTTGTCAAATAAGTTCAGCTTCATTTCTTACCAAAAAATGGATCTTATGGTGAAAATGATTCAGAATATTTTTGGCAGTCCACAGTTCATGAAAGAGATTGTGCGGTTCTTTTTGTAAAGTCATCATTTCTTATTTACTTTCCACAACTAGGCATTTTCTCCTTACCATTTTTTTCAAATATACTTGAGCTAAAAACATAATCAAGAAAGAATAGAGATGGGAAGCTGAAGAACCCTTAACATTTTCATGGTCCCAGAGTCAAAGGTGTTTACAAAATTTCAGATAACAAAATATCAAATTAGATACAGGCTATTTAATGATATGCTAATGAAAATACCTCAGAAAAAATTTGGTGAACTTTACATGACTAGAGAGATAAATAAATGATAGCTGTTATAAATGTGGTTTTCTCAGCTAACTAGACTGATTATTTTAAATTGTCCCATTGCTTTGAGCACAGGGTGTGGAGAACCAACTTTGTCACTCATTGGTCATTCACATGACAAGCACAGGGGGACAATTCTTTCAAGGATCCCTGAGGAGTGACGTCACTTCTTCCTCCTTGTCCTCCAGGGGGAATGAGCTAAGAGTTCAGTTCCAGTCCACACTGTCTTTTTTTATTTTTATAAAGGTAAATTAGAAAGCAATGAACTTGTGGTCTTCTCTCTTTTATCTTTAGAAATTGCCTGTGTGCTGCCGGCACTGATGGATGGCCTGCAAGGCCATCCCCACAAACCTTTTTACACAGTTGGCGAGACGGTGACCTTGTCCTGTTCAGGTGGCATGTCCTTAGAAGGTTCTGCAGCATTTCTCTGCGGATCCAGCCTTAAGTGGAGTCCTGAGATGAAGAATGCTCGCTGTGTGCAAAAAGGTGAGCGACTCCCCGGTCTGTCCAAGGACGTGAGCGCTCGGGAGGTACAAGTCCTTGCTGCGGTCCTTTCTGGCCCCTCATTGTCGTAATTGTCCTTCTGGTCATCGCTGCCACACTGGGAGAAGGGGTCAGTTTGCAGACTGGGAACAGCTTCTTTTCGCTTGCTGCAGATAGACTCAGGCTGTAAGGAAAGTCTGCTGGTTCTGAAAGTTTAACTTAAATCCTTCATGTGTAGGTGGCAAGAGACAGACCAGACTGGGATATAGGACATACAGAATAAAACCATAAAAATCACACAAAAAATCCTTCATGTGAAAAATTAACTTTATATTATGATACTAAGAAACGAAAGGACTTAAAAAACCTGGTTGGATTTTCTCTTGTTTTGAAGGGACTTTTTCTAAGTAGAGAGCATAATTTATATAAAACTGTATTCATTTTTGAGCTCTTGGAGAGTTTATTAATGTTGAGTTGTAAGAAAAGTCATGACATATATATATTTTTAATGACCTGTACAGATAGTTCTAAAGTTAAAGAGAACAATATACTGTTGATGTATTTGTATGTTTTTGTTTTTTACTGCAAAGGAGATTATATATTTGTTTTCTAACATGGATGCTGCAGTCATTTTATAGTGCAATGTAGTATGCAAAGTGTTTTTTTCACTTACCAGCAAAACTGAGAACAGTTTTAAATAAGGGTGTTTCTAAGATCTGTATTTTGGAAGATGGGGTTAACAACTACTTTTAAAGTAAGCCTGTAACAAAGAATTCCAGGATTTTTGTCCTCCAAAGTTGAGGTCTTCAAATACCTGATGTATCAGTAGGCTTTTAAAAAATTGTGGTTAAAATATATTAATGTAACAAAATCACCATTTTAACTATTTTTAAATGTACAGGTCTGAACATTGCCAAAACTGTGACCATCACCACTGTCCCCAATACATTTTCGTCTTCCCTAGATAAAGCTCTGTATACACTGAACACTGCTCCTTAATTTCTCCCTCCCCATCAGTGTTTAGTCTTGATGTGAAAATATTCTAAGATGCTAAATGTACATGCTTCAGGTGGATGCAGAGTTTATTAATCAAGCTATGAAAGTAGCAAAACTATGTTCTTCAATGCAATCATCTTCTGTCCAGCTAATTCTACCAATGATTTTTAATGCAGTAACTATAATCACTTTTAGAAAACAATTTAAAATCTGAAATTTGATCCTTCTGATTAGCAAATCATGCCTCAGAACTAATATACATGAGTTTATTATTGAATTTTAGTTTTAGTATATCAAGATTAAGCTTTTTATACCCCAACACTTTTGGAATCTTGAGCCTGATCATTCTTTTGTTCTTTTTTTCAGAAGTAAGTAGAGTTTGTTCTGAGTGAGCATCAATTAATCATATTTACAGAAAGAAATTTGTAAAGTCATATTAGTCATGTCAATAGATTATAGCAAAAGTATTAAATAAAATTGAACACCATTTTATGATGATGGCAATGTTGCTGTAAAGTCAATCCTTTCATTTTTTGGTTATCTAATTTAGATGAAATCAAAAAGTAAGTTTTTACCGAGATAGCAGTGGTCTACACGGGGTCACACCGCCTCAGATTGCTGTCACCACATGGGCCTGGAAACTCCTTATCGTGGGGGCGTCTCCTGTTCATTCAGTTTATTAGCATCCCAGGTCTCTACCTGCTGCTGCCCATAACACCTTCCCATTGTGACAGCCAAACAGACTGGCCAAATGCTCCCAAGGGGGCAGCTGTGCTCATGGTTGAGAAGCACTAGTCTAGGTAATACTATTAAAACCCATTTTATTTTGTAATAATTTCAGATTTTAGAAAAGCTGAAAATAAAAGTTTCTATATGCCCTTTACCATCTTCCATACTATCAGTATCTACATAATTTGACGACATGAGTTAGTTGGTGAAAACTAAGACATATGGGTACAATACTATTGACTAAGTCACAGATTTTTTCACAAAGCACCATTTGCCCACTCTGTCACTTTCATAATACCGGTTCCAATTCAGGATACTCCTTTGCATTTAGGATAATCCTGTTTTTTTTTGTTTGTTTGTTTGTTTGTTTTTATTAAAAAGTTTATTTTTACATCATTTTTCACATTTGTTTTTTCATCTCAATTGTAATCCCCGCGGGTTTCCCATCACCAAATCACCCCTGTGCCACCACCATAGTCCCGTGCATTTCCCTCCCTCCCCCCCCCCCCCGTTTTTGATCCCATTCCCCACTCCACCCCCACAAAATGTCTCTGGTCTATGGTTGTTCATTATTTTTGTTATTTTCTCACCTGGTCCATTATACTAGGATAATCCTGTTTTTAAAGAGAAATGTTTAAAGAGTGAGTGTCCTCATTCCATTGTTGTACATGGCAGGCTAGCTTTACACTGCTATCTTTTTTACACGTTTCTGAATTGTTTACAAGATTTTACTGTCATGTCTAGACTCTTCAGTTTTCCAAACTGAGGAACTAAAGTTTTATATTCATAAAACATCTTCTTCAAACTGCCTTTATAGATACAGCCACTAGTTCAATGATGGGAGAATATCACTAAATCCACTGTAATGTTGCTGGCAGGAAGTAGAGTTCACAGGGACATTCTAGGTTTTTCACACTGTGATTAGTCACAGCTGAGGAAATGGCAAAGAGTCCACTCATGAACTGGGCCCAATGTTTTCCTGTCATAACTGGCATGATGAATGACTTTTCATCAGTTTGCAAAAAGCACACAGTAATGGGAAGGTGTTTATTAGTACAAGTACCTCCAGACATTGGCTCACAGTTGAGGGGAGACCACTCAGACATTTATAAGGAAGAGTTTTTTCTAGGTCTCTTGACATACCTGGGAGTTCTCCATGTTGGGCTAAGTTAGGGTGCTACCTCCTGTCCCACCGAGGTACTGTGGGCTACATGCAGCCCAAACAAAAGTTTATAAACACCAACTTCTTGATGAAAGGAGTAGAAAAGGGTGTAAATCCTCACTCATCCAAAGTTGAATGTTCAAATTAGCACCAATTTCCTGACTTTTCTGAACTTCAGTTTCCGCATTTCTTTCATGGGCATTTACCAAGGAGGATTCAATATCACAATGTAAAAATATGCATGGCCAACAAGAAATATTCAGGAAATACTGGCTGTTCTAACCAGTGCAGTGATTTGTAGGGTGTTTCTGGGATCATTTTCTCCCTTGTAAAATATTTACAGTGTTGTGGGTTTTTTAAATTATACAATCTTGTTGCAATTGAGACTTTTATAGAACCTGGTTCAACAATTAAAATCACAACTTTTAACATGAAGAAATTTTTCTTCTAGTAATGGTATCTTGTTTATCCTCTTCATTTAGCCCCTCCTGTGACAGAGGCAGTACCTACATGTCAGCCCTGGGAGAAACTGCAAAATTCTAGATGTGTTTGTAAAATGCCCTATGAGTGTGGGTAAGCTCTGTTTGCTCATATCTATTTTATTTAAAGATAAATGGAGGGATTTCTTAGTTACCCATCACTGTTAGAGGGGAGATCCTCTTCCCTAATACTCTACTATGCTGCTCTCTACTAATCATAGCTTGCTTTGATTCATTTTTATTCCTCTTTCCATCTCTTCTGATTCATTTAGTTTATTAGCAACCTGTTTAGAGATATGGTGTGAGTTTTCATATAGGATACTAGTGACAAAGTCGGTAGCCCTTGAAAAACCTCCATCATTTGACTTGTTCGATTCTATTTAAAGCTTGACTAAACAGAAAAAAAAAAAAAGGATGTTCTTGTTTTGTATATTTAGTTCTTGCTCAGGGAAAAATATAAAGGAGCTTGTTAAAAAATAAAATCCACAAATTTAGAGATCTTATTGGCTTTATTAAATGACTCATGAATCAGGTTGTATCCCCTCCAGCTCCCAGAAAGGCTTTGCAAGAAGTTGTACAAATCGGAAGGTTTTTATACTCAGAAACAGGTTGGGCAAGGTTAACAAAAGACAAGAAACATTATTTCAGGCAGAGTTACCTTCCTTCAGGAGACTATGGCGAGGACTTCATCTGCTATGCAAAATTGCATCATCTAAAGTTTCACTACAGGAAGGCTTTCCTTACCCATCAGCATTCAGAAAGGTGCTGTTTTTATTAATGACTTTCAAAATGTCCAAATTTCAGCATTTTAGCACCAATGTTTAAGAAAAACTAACTAGTCTAACTAACTAGAAATATTTCAAGAGAAATATTTCTAAACTATATTGTAAACAAAGATACTTCGAAAAATAACATTGGAAAATACGGTTTGATTATCTCTTGAGGATTCCGTCACCAGCTGTGGATAACGCTGTGTTTTGAGCATAGGCTCAGCATGGCTGGGCCAGGATGAAGCTGCTGCTCAGTCCCAGCCAGTGGGCCCAGCCTGCGCCATCTTTGCTGCTTTTCTCTTATCTAACCACCGGCTGTTGCTTGCAAACCTTTCCTTCCCTTTTGACTTGCTGTGTGTCTAGATGAAACAAGACACACCAGACATCTAGATTTATAAAATATAGGAAAACCAAGAACAAAATAGTTCATTTTGAAGACCAGGAGGGCTCTTCTGCTTCATTCTTTTTGCTTTGCAGATACTGAAAGTCCAAATTCACAAATAGAGATCTAACTGGCTTCATTAAATGAATGAGCCACATCTAGACACTGTGAGGAGTTACACAAAATGGAGGGTATTTATAGACAGAAAGAGCATAGGTAAAAGCTATTAGCGAAAGAAAAGATTATTTCAGGAAAAGAAGCCACCCTTAGGGGAAGGCAAGGATCTTATGCAGATGACCTCACAGGGGCTGACTAGGAAACATCGATTTGTCTTTTAGCTACAGGGCTGGAAGAAGGGGCAGCCCAGAACCCCCAGATCTGCCCAGTCTAAATAGGTCCTGCCATCTGCCACATCAAGACAAATCACATAAGAACCTTTAATGGAAAGGAACTTTAACACAATGAGTGTGCAATACAGAAAAGACAAAGAATATAGCCTGTAAATCAAACACCCAAAGTTACCCATCCCTTCATGGGTAAAATTCCACCCGAAAAGAATTGGCCCAAAGCAAGGCCTGAAAGCCCACTACAAGGCTAAAACACCTTCTAGCTGGGACCCATAGAAAAGGGTCAGAAATGGCCAGACAACTGGAAGGAAAAGAGCAAAATCACTATCAAGATAAATGCTGCCATAGTCAACCTCCCCGTGGGTCCCTCACCCACATCTGTTTCAACTAGTCCAGGATCAAGAAACAAGAGCCACTTCACATGTCTCTCTGCTCTTTGTGGCTCCCTCAGATCACCTTCTGGCTCTCCATCCTGCTTCCTTCCTCCTCAGTCTCCTCTCCAATTTCTGTCTCCTGAGCATTTTCACTGCTCAGCTCCACCTTCTTTTGAGGGGGGTGGGGCAGGGAACCTGAAACCTTCCCTTTTCTTGGGGACCACCCTGTTACAGGTTTAGGATGACACTTTAGATGTGGAAAGGTTAAACCTACAGTGATATTAGTTATGAAGTGCTTGTGTTAGGGGTATAGGCTGGGCACAAAAGACTCCATTTTGTTTTTTCCTGTTTTGTTTTTGTTTTTGATAGTGGTCACACAGAGGCTAAGCTCAGACCCTCACCTTTCCTTTCTTAGTTTCAGTTTTTTTGTTGTTTTTTTTTTTAAAGATTTTTTTTTCTTTATTCATACAGAATTGGGGTACAGGCCAGAGATGTGGAGGGTGATAGGATTCACCAGAGACAGAGTGGGGAGCAGAACAGGCAGATGGGCGAAGTACACTGCTGAGGGGAGCAGCGGGCGGGTCAGGAGAAGTCTGCCACGCCATGTGATCACCTCCTGGGCAGGCGGGAATCGAACTCATGCGGAAGTGGCTTTATATTCTCGATGCTGTGCTTTAACCCGCTGCGCCACCAGGGAGGGCCTTTAGTTTCAGTTTTTAAGAATAAATGAAAATCCTGTAACTAATGTCATTTAAAAAATGCTCTTCAGATCCTCCTTGGCTGTATGCGCTCGAGATGAGAGAAGCAAAAGGATACTGCCCCTGACTGTTTGCAAGATGCATGTTCTCCACTGTCAGGGTAGAAATTTCACTCTCACTGAAGAGAGCTGTGCTCTGCCTGCCTCCAGCAAGAAAGCTTGTGGTGTGTGTCCCCTGTGGGGGAAATGTGATGGTAAGGACCCCTTCATCTTTGGACTATAAGAATTTTTCAATCTAAAATCTTAGGAGGCAATTCCAAAGATAAAATGTTTATTTGGGATCAAAGAATTGTAATTTGAAGTGGGTCAAATCCTATATAACCATGAGAGGGGGATGCAGCACCAAGTCACTGTCCTCCGTTTCCCCATCTGCAAATTTGGGAGCCAAACTATGTAAGGTCTCTCACCATCCTTCAGACCCTCCTTATGGTCTGTATCTGTGGGTCCCTTTCCCCTGACTCCTTCATGGTTTATAACAGGCCTTATTTTGGCTTCATCACAGTCAGCCTGCTGGCCTATTTCAATGCAAATTTCATTCACTCTTCCCTTGATGCTCAGGTATGCTTTCCTCCCTAACTCATTTCTGACTTGTTTTTGTGGGTTATTTGGCCTTTTGTTTTGCAGAGGAACAAAACTGCCACCCCCAAACATAACTGTTGTACAAAAAGTGGTTCGTGGGGTTGCTGTGAAGGCTGGGTGGAGTTGTTTTTAAGAGCCCTTTACATGAAAACCTTTCTTTGTTAGCTCCCTCAAGTCACTGGGGAGATCTTGTCTTCTTAACTCTTTTCGTTTTTAAGATTTATTTATGCACACAGAATTGGGGTACAGGTCAGAGGTGCAGGGGCAATGAGAGGGTTCACCAGAGACAGAGTGGGGAGCAGAACAGGCAGGTCGACAATGTACACTGCTGAGGGGAGCAGTGGGCGAATCCAGAGAGGTCTGCTGTGCCATGTGGATCACCTGCAGCCCTGGATCAAACTTGCTCTGAAGTGGCTGCCTCTAGCTTGCAGTGCTGTGTTCCTACCTCTTGTGCCACCAGAGAGGGTCCTCTTAACTTTTTTCAAGGGAGGAGGTAGCATTTATATCTGCGTAGAAGTTACAGGATGGTCTCCTGTGCCTTCCCTGGTGACTAACTGATCTCCTTTTCTCCCCCCACCTAGATTCTTCTGCCTTAGCTATTTAAGGTGGCATCTGAAGCCTCAGCTCAGTTATGCTGGGTCTCTCCCATGCACGCAGGGGGTGCAAGTTATTATTAAACATCTTTTTGACTTTTTCCTCTTATTGATGTGCCTGGTGCTTGTTTATTTGCCAGCCTAGAAGAACCCAAGGGGGATGAAGGGGATACAATGATTTCCTTTGTTCCCTGACAGTTTCCTGCCTCTTTCAATGCAAATTTCATGTTTTGATCTCTTTGTCTCTGGGCTGAGCCTGCCCACTCAACTACTAGCTGAGGTTCTGGAATTTTCACCCTAGATTTCTGGTTCCCTTGGGCTGCAGTGAGGCAGAGAGAGCTGGAGTTTGTGGTAGAGATGCCACCTCTCTTGGTGCATCTGATAGGAAGCCTGACCCCAGCCTCAACATCTGTTTATTCAGAGTGGCACAAAGGGCCTCACTTCCCAGCTCTAGGGTTTTCCTTGGGGGTAGCTGATGCTGTCACTGACAGCGGGAAGTTTCTACAGTGCTCTGGTTGGTACACAGTAACTTTAGAAATGTTGTGGAGCAGCCACGTGCAGGGTTGCCAGCTCCGGCTACCAGCTCCCACCCAGCAAATCTTCTGTGCTTCCTTTTCCCTGGGCCCCCTGGCACTCCCTCCCTCACATGGGCTCCTGGTCTTGCCTCTTTCATAGTCACGCAGCTCATTCTCTTGTAACTAAGGTGTGCCTCTGGGTAATGCCAGTCTTGTAGACACATGCCCACACCATGCTCCGAGTGTCCACACGCAGGCCACGTACCCATGCTCCCAAGAACCTTCTATGTGTTTTGGCCTGACTTCTGTGACCGGCCACAAGGAAGAAAGATGGGAAGCAGAAAGGCTGAGCAAGTAAAGTTTATTGCTCCCGGGCAGCAGCTGAGACGGAGACCCTAGGGTGGGGTCCGCAGCTACTGCCAGTGCTATAGGGGAAAAGGGTCTCTTATATAGATTCTAGGGTCACATTCCAAAGGGGTGACTCATTGCTGTGCCCCTTGATGCTAGGCCCAGTTCCTCCCACGGTATCTCCCGGATGTGAGGCCCAGTGAATTATCACACTTGAATGTGAGGCCCAGTTTATTATCGCCCTTATCTAGTCCCACTGGTAGTTGTGTTATCACAGCACCTGGTCGCTCCCAACACTATGTTAACACAACCAAGGCTGCAGGTGATAGTCACAGAGGTTAATGGCATAAAAAGCCTGATGAATTCACTCACCCTATAGGAGGTAAGGTGCTTTGAGTGTCTTACCCTCACAAGGTGCCTCTAAGCATCCCTCTTGCTTGTTTTTCCAGATCAAAGTGGCCAGTGTGTCTGCAGAGAAGCCTCAGAATGCAAGGAAGAAGGACTTCAAGTGTGTGTGGTGGTGGATGGCAGAGAACAGACCATGACAGAGTGCGAGGCTGGCACCCTCCAGTGCCAAGGGCAGAGCATCTCAGTCACCAGCATCAGGGCCTGTGGTGCCCAGGCCCACTAGGCTCCTGGGTGCTGGTAATAGGTTTGGTGGGTGTATCCAAGCCACTGTGGCTGGGTTAAAGATCTGCATTACCGGCACTTAACTTCTGCATAGACACGTTCTTTCTCCTTCCCCTCCAGTGCTCACTTCGGTATTCCGTGCCAGTCAATGTGTAAACACAACCTGGTGTTCTCCCAAACCATGATCCAGGTGGGCTTTTTTCTCCTTTTTAAAAATCTTAGGATAAGGAATATTCATGAGAATTTGCATGAGCTGTGTGCGCTTAGAAAAATGGCGAAGTTCCCTGGGCTTGAGGTTTTTGTTTTTTTTTTTTTTGTCTGAAAAATAAAGAATTAAACTCAAATGTGTCTGCAGAGAAGCCTCAGTGCTAGGATGTTATTAAGTTTGATTGACCCCAACTGTGGTCCAAAATGCTTCCTATAAATAGGTTAGGGAAACCAAGAATAGAGAGGTTCCCCTCAATGCCATAAATACAAAAGGAACTTTGAAGGGAAAAAGACAGATACAATTATTCTATCCCAACTGGTAATCTCTGGCTTCATTCTATTGACTCAAACACCACAAGTAGGGATCCCTAATCTTGTAGGAGACTGAAGCACTGAATGTCACCGTGAAATTCATCACACTATGACCACAGGGGTCTTCTGCCTTCTTGTCTGAGAACAAATACAATTCAGTCTTCTCTTTAGGGCTTTTCTTTTGTATATGTCAAACAGGAGGCCTGCAATTTGGCACCCTCCTCCCCTTTTCTTTTGTAAGAACCATCATTCATGCCTGTGCCATTCAGTGATTGTGTATTTGAGAGAGCAATTTTCTCTACCGTGGATACACGCTCAGATTGTTCAGGGGGTATACAGGTAGATCAATTTGAAGCATTGGCCTTCTGTTTATTTCTTATTCATCTTTCATCAAAACAAAAAAGCCGTGGGAGGTGAAATGAATGGGCTTAAATGGAATTTAAAATACGCTTTCATTACAAACAGTATCTGTATTTTTCTGATACTGATAAAAACATTTCAGTAGAACTTTGCTTAAAATGACAATGATTAAGAAACTCATTAAAGATACTATCCTTTAGAAGTTTTTGATCTGTATTATGTTTAATTTTTTTTTTAAAGATTTATTTATTTGTACATACAGAACTGGGGTACAGGCCAGAGGCTCAGGGGCGGTGAGAGGCTTCACCAGAGACAGAGTGGGGAGTAGAACAGGCAGATCGACGAAGTACACTGCTGAGGGGAGCAGTGGGCGGGTCAGGAGAGGTCTGCCACGCCATGTGGTCACCTCCGGGGCAGGCGGGAATCGAACTCATGTGGAGGTGGCTTTAGCTTCTCAGTGCTGTGCTTTAACGCGCTGCGCCACCAGGGGTGGGTCCCTGTATTATGTTTAATTTTAAAGAATTTTTCAATGAAGAATGACTAATGTGTTCTTTTAAAATTTAAATTTTTAAACACTTTATTGAGTTATGATTGACATGTAAAAGTTTGTGTATTTAATATATACAACTCTGAGTTGGAGGATAAATATACTATAAAACTGTCACAAGCATTTAGACAGATCCATTGTCTCCCAAAGTTTTGTCCTAACCCTTTTACTTTTTGTGTGTGTGGTAAGATATGAGATCTTCTTTCATAAAAATTTAAGTATAGGCCCTCCAGGGTAGCACAGTGGGTTAAAGCGCAGCACTGCAAGTGAGTCAGCTGCTTCAATCCCTGGCCCTGGAGGTGATCCACGCGGCATGGGAGGCCTCTCCTGGCCTGTCTGTTGCTCTCCTGCACTCTGTGCTTCGTTGATCTGCCTGCTCTGCTCCCTACTCTGTCTCTGGTGGAGACTCTCACCGCCCCTATACCTCTGGCTTGTGCCCCAGTTCTGTATTCACAGATAGATAAATCTTTAAAAAAAAAGTGTTTAAGTATATATTACCATGTTGTTAGCTATAGGCTGTACCACGGGTCTCCATACCTTGTTTATCTTGCAGAATAACTAACACTTGACACCCTCTAATGATGTCGTTTTTGGAGTGCGGGGTCTTTGGGTTCACTCTGGGAAAGAATTCACCAGAGCTCCCTTTTTAGCGGCACATGGCAAGTTACTCCATAGACTCAGTTATATTTAAAGAATAAGTTTATTAGGAAAGGAAAGGACACTTGCATAGGCACAAGTGGGCAGGGAGAGCTGCCCGGGAAGGGATAGGCTTGCAGTGAAAGGCCTGCATGCTCACAGGCAGGTGGCCTTAGGAGAGTGGCCTCCACTCAGGGAGGTCAGTGCAGAGAAGTCCTGGCATGGTACAGGTCACCGGCAGGCAGGTGGCCGCTGCCCTGCAGAGGGAGAGAGTGGGTGGAAAAAGCACCTGCATAGTCACAGGTGGACAGAAGACTGTTGTCCCATGCTGGTGCAGACTGCCCTGATGTAGACAACTTCTCTTTGGGAGGAACTCACAACCTGTGAGCTTAGGCTTGTTGATTTTGAATAAAATATGAAAGGACTAGACACTCTCCAAGGGCAGAGACTCACTAACAGGTCCCATCTCCACATCCTTTTCTCTTATATTTTGGGTCTGAGCTCTATACACCACCCCCAGCATTCTGTTATGAGCTTGGACCACCCTTCGACATCTTGGCAGATGATTTTGATTTTGATGGCTGTGTCAAGAATTTTGATTTTTATGGCTGTGTTAATGGCTATGCTAACCCCTTCTAGCCATGGCTCTGTGTGAATAAATCTTGTGATGTCTCCCCTTCATTCCTTCCCCCATCGTAACTATCATCTCTCCTACTTTCCCTTCCCCTAGTCCCTGGCAACTACCATTCTACTTTCTACTTTTATGAGCTTGACTATTTCACATATAACTGAGATTACTTGAGGTTTCATATGTAACTGAGATAACAGTCTTTATCTGGCTTATTTCACTTAACATTGTACCTTCCAGGTTCATTCATATTATCACAAATAGTGGAATTTCCTTTTTTTGTGGCTGAATAGTTTTCCACTTTGTGTTTACCACATTTCCTTTGTGCATTCACCTCAGCATGGCTATTTAGGTTTTAATGGTAAGCAGGGGAATCAAGTCAGCAGAGAGATGATTTGACCCCCCTCCCCAGGGTGCTGCCGCCTTTTTAACCCCTCGCTCCTAGCCACAGGTGTGCACACTTGTATGTTCACACACATAGCCCTCCCAAGTGTCCATAATCAGGCATTCATGCCCCACACCCATGCCTTGTCTGCGTTAATAGGATCCAGGCCACAGATGATAGTCACAGAGGCTAGTGGTGTAAAAAGCCTGACTAATTCGTTTATAGACCCAGAAGTGGAAATGATTGATCATATGGTAGTTCTATTTTTAATTTTTTGAGGAACCTCCATACTGATTTCCATTATGTACCAATATGTTCTAACCCAAAATTTTCTGTCTGATCTAGGTCAGCTTTTTATGCTAAACTGTCCTTTAAGTGAAGATTCATGCATATAAGGAAGTTACAAGGAGGCAAACTTTATTGACACTTATGACATTAGGACAATGCTTCATTGAAACCAGTTGCATTTATTAGAAGGTATTATGGAGTTAATGTCTACTGTGTTTAGAAGGCTAGATTTGAAAATGCCAGGCCTGGATGCATATCCTGAAGCAAAAAAATGAGTAATTTATTTGGGACGAGACATCCGCATCTTTCTAATAAATATTTTCCCTCTTAAGTTAGGATAGAGTTGACTGTTTTCTAGTCCTTTCTTAACACAATGTTGTTAATACTTTCACATGTTGTAGAAGATTGAAGGCTGGAAACAAACAAACAAAAACTAGCAGATGTGACATCTAGACCATTTTAGAAAAATGTTTCAGCAGTTAGTGAAGAAGAAACAGGGGTTAATGAACAATTGGTAGTAAAATGGTGAGCATTAAGCTGATGTTGGAGACATGCTGTCTTGCTTATTAAATTTCACGGCTTCCTTTCTTTTCTGAACATTCTCACAGTTGACTTTTCTTCTAGTCAGGCAGAGCCATTCACAAGTTTTGTCTAAGAGAGGAAGGGTCATTGCAGCTGGTGTGTGAGTACAGAGTAACCTTGAACATTGTCTTTAATGTGCTTTGAAACTTCCAAAATAAACATTGACAAAAAAAAGGCTTTGAGGGTAGATAAGAGGACTATCATGACACAAAAATTGGTTGCAAAAAGGATAGAAATGGAAGGGATGTGAGAAGTCCCCACTGTCTGCTGGTCCCTCTGCCGCAGACTAGGTGAGGATCACCTGCAATAGAATGTGATGGGCTTGAAGAAGGAGGCAGCAGTTCTGAGATTAGTCATCTTGACTTGGGGTGGAGGATCAGGAATGGAGGGCATTTCCTGGTACATTAAGTATCATGACTTTGCAGAACAACATGGGAATCAAACCACCCCCTGCAGACCTTCATTCAAGATTTATGTGGATTCTTCAAGATACCTGGGCATCAAACTGCTTTGGAAATTTCATTCTGGACCTTCTTGTGACACTCCACACCTTTGCTAGTAACTGACAGCAGAAGTATAGTGGAAGCCCAGAGACTTGATGACCTCCATTCAATCTGCTTTTCCTGGAACCTCCCTTCTCTCCACTCAAAGTCCAGGACTATTTTAAGTACCTTGAGACAGAATGTTCTTGATATTCAAGTGGTGCCTGGTAGCGGTGGGGTGGCAGGTATCTCAGACCAAACACCCCTGGAACTATGATTTCCCCAGGAACAAGTCAGATAACTGGATAATTTGAGAATTCCCTGACTCAGTGGCCGAGTTCATGGCTAAGTTCAGGTACACGTGGGACTTATGAAACCTTCTGTTGTGAAGTAGCTGCTCAGAGCTGTGGGGGTTCGGAGCTGGTGCACCCTGCATTCCCTGTAATCATTTGTTGTGTGCTCACACAAATTGTCAATCACTGCCCTTTTGGTTGAAAGAAATACCTTTGAAGCTCATGGTTTATCATTAGTTCTATCTTTTCTAAATATTCTTTTTGGTTCTTACACCTACATCCTTCCACGCATCTTAATCTGACATAGGCATTTGGAATATTTGTAAGATGAGCATAATAGCTAGTAGAGGTAGCTTGATAAGCTAAGAAGGAAAGTCAAGATGCTACATAACTTTGTATGGGGGTATGATGAAAGGAATGTATGGGTTTGTCAACTACTTTTCCTCTGGGCTAAGAAAGAGAAAAGAAGGGAGAAGAGAGGAGAGAGGAAAAGGGGGAGGAGAGAGAGGGAGGCAAGGAACAGGGGAGGGAGGGAGTCTGGACCATTCTTAGTACAGAGCTAGCAGAACTGAGCAACCATTAGCCTTGCTATCTATCTACCAGTCCACTGAGAATTTTTTGCCCTGAAGGACTAGTTAAACTGTAGTCAGTGCTTGGAATGACCTGTTCAGAAAACTGAGCCAAAAAGCAACTGCAGGAGGAGGCAATTTCCGTTAATATCTGAGAAGCCAGAGGGATATACTAGCCTTTCAATTACTTTGGTCTTTCAGGCAGTTCACGCACTTGGGGGACAAACAAGAAAGCTGATGGCATGATAGGAGTCCCTGCTGTGAAAACCAAAGCTTCTACAAATTTGTCTTTTTATTTATTCCCATCAGATTTAAAGCTATAGATTTATACTCAAAACAGCAATCATGTGGGAAAATGTGGTTTTTCAGCCAAGGGTTAACAAGACCAGATGGAAAGACTGTTGTTGTTTTAGAAAGTATAGGCTGGAGGTTGAAAAGGTGGGCTGGAGAAGAAAGAACAGTAAATTATTCTTTTTAATTCACAGGAAGAGGACAATTTCCTGTGAAAGGACAAACATAAAGAGCTTCTCTCTGTTATCACTGTGTTTTATATGTGTCTCTAGAAAGGAGACTGATACAACATTCCAGGGGAGGGGGCTTAGGAATGATGTTCAAGACAGAAGCATGGGCTGGAGGAATAAAGCCTATGTAATGGCAAATGAGTGTCCATTATGAAATAATCATCTGATCAAATTGGCTGGGAACACAGAGTGCAAAGGAATTTTCTGTAAGGGTAACATGAAATTTTCTCATCAAATGAAACTTTTGTCTGACCTCTTTGTTTTGAGCATAAATTGATAGCTTTGCCTGACAGGAATAAAATGAGGATGTGAGAAACTGAGGGTTGGCATATTATTAAGTTACATACCACCCAAATGTGCATCATAACAGTATTTGATAAAGGAGCATGATTGGACTCTATGTCCAGAAACTCCCTTGCATAATGAACAAGAGGAACTGTTGAAGTTAGGTGTGATACAAAACTATTTTAAAAAATTGTATGAGAAATGTATGAGGGCCCTCGCT